CATCACTTTATAGTCCTTTTTTAGCTGTTAATCAGCTGCCATGTAAAGTAAATTTCTCAACACTTTGCTGGGAATTCTATTTTGCCTATAAACACTCTTGGGCCGAACTGTGTGTGTATGTGTGTGTGTTGTGTGTTTTCAAGGTAAATGTGTACAGTGTACAATTTTCTTAAGAGTTTACCTTTACTAAGGGAATATTTCTCAAAGGAAATTGTTTTTAAAAAACAGTAAAAAATTGTTCATCTTTCAAGAAAGTCCTTTTAGTACTTCTACTTTAACTTTTATACTATATACCTACTAAAATTTATATGTATTTAATTTAAAACATTTTTTATAAATTAACCATACAGTTAAGCCCCCAAATTAATTAAAAATATGAAGAATTTTTAATTAATTAATAGAAACTCATTGAAGAAAGTTTTTCCACTTTCGGGTGACTTTTCCATTAACTGTGCTTGCGTTCTCAATTTGCTTTCTTGATGATCAGGTGACAAAAGTTTTGATTTCCGTTCAACTTTACTTTATTTATTTTTATTTTCATTTTTTTCTTTGGAAAATTCTTGAAAATTTCTATGTGTGCCGCCAAAAGTTTTCGTCATTTGCTCTTAATTGAATTTGTATGCTTCCAAACGCAAGCAGAAATATGTATGTGAGTGAAATAAAATAAAAATAAAATATATATAATATTTGAGATTCTCACTCGCAAATTGTGCAAGTTGCTGCCACAGAGGAAAACAACAAGAAAAACAAGAGAAAGAGAGTGGAAAGCAAGTGGGAAAAATGAAAATGAACTGCATAAAAGTTTGTGCGTTGAGCGTTTTTCAATTGCTCTGAAAACTATTTTACTTACGTTCAACTTTCACTTACAAATGGTGGCAAACTTTCAGCGGCAACTGTATGCGAATATGAAACAGATAAGGCGAATATACATACATGCACTGTGAATATCATAAATGGGATTCATTTCAACTGTCAACAAAATGCCATTAAGTTTGCTCAATTGATGGGAAATTTTGAATATTAATTTATTTATTATTACGGATCAAAGAAAATTGGGAAAATTAGAAGTTATTTTCTTTTTTCCAGTGATTTTATTTTCCGAGATATTTGAATAATTTTTATTAATTAATAATTAATATATAATATTTATATTTCCCAGAACTTGGTTATTATATATTTAGGGAATATTATGAAATATTTTGATGAAATATCAAATATCTAAGTAATATATACCAAGATTTATTTTATATTTATATATATTCAAGATTTAATTATACAATTTTAGTCAAAGAACAAATCTATTTAGAGATTTTAAGCCTTCTTGGCTACCTAAATTGTTTAATAACCATTAAACAAACCCCTATTTACAAGAAGTCCTCCTTTAAACCTCGTTTTTCTATTCCTTAATTATATTTTACCGTGTACAATTACTTTCTATGTATGTACCAGTGCCTGTACCTATTTACATCTTTTTCCACTGTGAGATATTAATTAATAATTGAAATAACTGAGCTCGTTATAAAGCGAGGGCACTTTGGGCACGAAATGCCCTAGCAGAAGGGCCACCCCCTACCTAGTAACCACCCCGGGGGCACTTGTGTGTCTCACTCTGTGTGTGTTTAAGTGTGTGTGTGCAGTTTCAAGTTTAATTTAAAGTTTAGTTGTAATTTTGTACATTTTTCTCTGCGAAGCAATTAAAAATTCAATACGCAAGCCCCACAAGAGAGAAAAAAAGCAGAGGCGCTGAAAAAATTGGCCAAATTTTTTTGTTGTATGTCAGCCAGCTCCGGCTTTATTTATTTATTCATATGATCTGCTTTAAATCTTGCCGAAAATACATATATTATTTCGCTCTCCGTTTTTTACAGGGCAGAGTTCCAAACAGAAGCAGAAACAGAAACCGGAACCGAAACTGAATATTTAAAGCAGAAATCTAAGAGCGGGCAACATGGCGTATGATTAACATACGCAACGCTCATTGCTCGACGGGATTTTTTGCGGTAAGTGTTAAATATGCTTATTAATTAATGCCGCAAAATTAAACACAAAATCGCAACTATTGAAGCATTCCTAAAGCCGCAACAATTTTGAAGCGCAAACGGGATTTTTATTCAACTTATAGTTCGCCATAAATTAACCGACCACAAACAATTGCCCTTGTTGCAAGGTTTTTTTCTATTGTATTTATAAGTGGATAAGTTGGCAGTAAAAATAGAGGGTTTTTTTTACCATTTAAAGAAAAGGGAGAGAAAATATATGAATAAATAAATAAGTAAATAATTAAATAAATGCTAGGCAATAATAAAAGATTAATAATAAAAAAATAGGTGCTGAAATGGTAGAGTGTTTTTAATGTTGCGCTGTCTTGTGTTAAAGGGCAATTAAGTAAATATTTAAATGTTTTTTGCTTGATATATGAAATTCTTTAAGAGGTTTTTATTTAAATGCATTTGTTTCTTAAATTCTGAATTATTATTTTAAAATATTTTCTATTAATATAATATTTATTATTGGTTTTTCTAATATATGGTTTAAAACATGAAAGGAAATTAACTTCGGGATGCCTTTTGCTTATATATTTAAAGATCTAATCGGAAATCTTAAAATATTTGAAATCCTTAAATCAATATTTATCGATATTTTTATATGACAGTTTTTTTGACAAATCAAAGTTTTAAAACTCATAACTAAGCCAAAAAAGCATTAATTTTAATTCGGAAAGCTTTCCCTTGTAAGTTTTTATTAGGATAATTAATCTGCATACTAAATTTAAAGATTAAACAAATTTGAAATTTGTATAATTTTTTGAAAATTTTAATGATGTAACCCTTTATAAAATTTTGAACAAAATGTTTCGACAATTTTTTTGTGCCGGAGATACCTAGAAAGATTCGCTTGTTGATGCTGTTTAAGAATATATATGATTTATAGGGTCGGAAATCATTTTTTCACTTAATAACAAGCTTATGAATAAAATTATAAGACAAGGGTATAAGAAGGCAAGGCTTTATAGTTTTAGCAAAAGTCCGGCTATGTATTTTTAAAAGCTTAGTTATAAGCATCTGCATTTCACTTATTTCTTATTGATTTCCCTGATTAAATGACCAATTTTCTAGTTAAGCTACACTTGTTATTTATTTATTTTTAAATAAAACAAAATCTTAATCCCTTTTATGCTAAACTTCAATATCATTTACACCTTTTACACCGAATGATTTATTAAGGAAATTCACTGGCACTTTTTTTCCTTTTGTATAGAATATGAAATGCAGTTCGATTTTGGTTGACTGGACACGAATACCTGTCTATCTATCTATATATCTACTATATATTTATATCTACATTTTGTGCGTCCCACTGGGCGTATGTGTGATTTTTCCTGGCGTGCGTGTGAATGCGAATGCGTTATATTCGTCCAACTGTGCGAAAACAATTCGAGCGCTACTTTGCGCCATAAAAGAAGTGGTATTAAATGCATATATATATGTATATATATATATATACATATATACGGTGACATAGCGATATGTGTATATATATATGTTTGTAAAGTGAATCGCAACCAAAAAACCCATTTTTGCATTTAAAGTTTTATGCATTTTATTGCCTCGTCTGGTAAAAAACTATCCTTAGTTCGGGGTCCCTTTCCTTGTTGTTCCCATTTCTGCAACCTTACTTTCTTTATGTTTTTTTATTTCGGTTGTTTTTTATTTTCTGTTTTTTATTTTCTGTGTGTATTCCTGGTTTCAGTTTTTTGGCGGTCGTCGAATGCCCCAGTGAAATATGATAAAAGTCAGGCGCGAGACAACGCGGCCCTCTACAGTGGCGCTTTGCATTTTGATTTGTGTTGGTGACCCAAAAAAAAAGGAGAAAAATAAAGAAGAAAACTTTTGGGGATCAGCAAATGCACAGCAAGAAAATATAATGGAATTTGGCCATATTAAGCCTTTGAAATCGGGAACTTTAGAAAGGCAAGGGAAAACTATCTGGTACTTTGTAAAATTAAAAAAAAAACTTAATAAATCTATAAAAATAAACCTGTAACTGATCTACAATTTCCTTAATATACTTCCCACCAACTCTTTAAAAGTTTATTAAGCACAAAAACTCTATTCAGCCTTTGCATTGACCTTATATCAGTCTGAATTAAGACCTTACAGCAAACTCATGAATAACCATATATTTTTTTGTGGCCTGATTTAGTGACTTGGTAGAGAGATTTCCGCGAGATTTTCTAGCCCCACTTGGGGGGCATCAGCATCAGCATCAGCACCAGCACCGGCACAAGGATGCTTATCGACAAATAAATTCTTTGTCCTGTCAAATGCCCTAGGCGTTCGCCCCCCTCTGCACCACCAAGTGGGTGGCGGTATATAATAAATAGCCTGACATAGTAATGCCACAGACACTAACTCACAACTGTCGCACTGTTGCTGTTGGCCCTGCGAGTAGTCCTCGAACGAAAAGTTGACGCCTATAAAACGGATATGGATGTGCACCAAACTCCCCCTCTGGGTGCTCCTCGTGGGTGCCAAAAGTGTTGACAAATTTATGAGCTTGTTTTGCTTTTACGCCAATTTTTGTTTTTTCTCTGATTGAAAGTTTTCTTTATTTTTTTTGCTCTAATTGATGGGACATTGAGGGGGAGAAAGGCATTGACCAGACATCTTAATCGTTGCCGTTCTTTATTTAGAGCGAGACAGATATTTATAATGGCTTTGATTGATTGAGAAAGTAAATCAAATTCCAGGCAATTCTCTCTCACTCTGACCAAATTGATTCATCAAAATTTCAGGATGACAATGGTACGCTTGGAATCCCAAACTGTTGAATATTTTATAGTTTATTGGCTGGCATCTGTCATCGAATTGAAAGTTATTTCAATATTTTCACACACAATCGGGGGAAAGTGATTTAAAATTGATCAACCAATGGCAATGGGAAATTTCAGTGGAAAAAGACGGTTAACTCAGCTAAGTATTACGAAACTTAAGGCATACTTCATGTATAATCATTGAAATCTTTATTTTGGAATAGTTAATAATTAATATTGATTTTTGCTAAACTCTTTGGAAAAAACTACAAAAAAAAATACATTTTTCTCTAAAGCCAATTTGCCTCGCGGTTAGCTAAGAGGCACAGCCACACTGGCCACTCTAAAGAGGCCATGTATGGAGCCTGGTCACACTGGATAATTAATTGCGCTTGGCGGCACAATTCTCAACCAGTTTGGCCAAACGACAAGCCTTCAGCTCACGATCGAACCAATATCCATTGGGACAGTTCTGCCTCTTTGACTTCTGGCGATTGCACACGTAGTAGCGGCGACAGTGACGCACATCGGCCAAGAAGGTTCCATCCTCCTGACCCTGGCAGTCTTGGCGAGAGAACAACAGCTCAGCGTTCCTCAAAGCCGGATTTATGGTGGTTGCGATCGTGGTTTGGACCGTGGTGATGGGACAGGTGGTGGTGATACAGGGTGGCGTGGCGGTGCACGGCGGACGAGGTGTAGGCCTGTTGCATGGTGGTGTCCTGGTGCATGGTGGAGGCGGGGGTGGGGTCCTGGTGCACGGTGGTGGTGGGGGTGGTGTCCTGGTGCAGGGTGGTGGTGGGGTGGAGTCCTGGTGCAGGGTGGTGGTGGTGGTGGGGGTGGAGTCCTGGTGCAAAGTGGTGGGGGTGGTGTCCTGGTGCAGGGTGGTGGTGGTGGGGGTGGAGTCCTGGTGCAAGGTGGTGGTGGTGGTGGAGGTGGAGTGCAAGGTTCCGGTGGTGGTGGTGGTGGTGGTGGTGGAGGTGGAGTGCAAGGTTCTGGTGGTGGTGGGGTCCTGGTGCAGGGCGGTGGAGTGGTGGTACATGGTGGTGGCGTACACGGCGGTGGATCGTCTCTCGGCGGTTGAGCCAGGGCCTCTCGTCCGCCGGCAATGGCCGCCAGGCCGAATCCAATCAGCAGCAAGTGGTCTAGAGGATACAAAAAAAAAGGGAACACCTTTTAGCCTCCCCGATCGAAGGATGTGGTGGAGAACTACCCACAAACTCTCATGTTGCGTCGATTTAATGCTTCTGCTACTGCAGTTTCTACTTCTCTGCTGGATGAATGTATGCTGATTCGTTCAAACTGGCCCCCTTTTATATGCGAAGATCTTATCTCTCGGCCCGTGCAAGGTAGCCACTTGAGATCGATTGTCGTTTGTGATCCCAGAGTTTTCTTTTCACTCTGCTAATTAACCGAAATAATAGTTGTGCAGTTGCACGAGTTGGGTGTTCCGGGTTCATGGCGTTTACACACCTTTCGAGTGAATTGTTTTTAGCCTCGGAGAGCTTGTTAACAAATTGTTATGAGATGTTCATGTAATAGCGATATTGACGGAGGAACATGTGTAAGGTTTAACAACAAACGTACAATCTGGCATTATAATTAAATTCTTGGAATTAGTCTATGTTGACCTTAGAATATTATTTAAATATTTATTCTTGGAGCTAAGGGATCAGACACTTACAAAAGAAAAATGTTGTATATAACATTAATTGAAAATAAAGCTTGAAGAAGTGTGGCAACATTTTCTTTTAATTTGTAATAAAGTGCAGCCTCATAGTTTGCTTTTAACATGCGACTGGGCACACTATTAATCTATTAAGTGCAGACACACTTTTTTGTATGAACCAAACTTTTGCCTAGTTATATATATTCCCTATTTCATTATATGAATTCAAATATTTTTACTGATATTAAGCAATACAATATATATAAACCAGATTTAAAAGTGCCTGGCCCCACCATTTACCCACGAAAATACTTATAAATTCAATGCCCCAGCACCAGGTTTCCGAATAAAGGTTTATTATTTTATTTTTTTTTTGCAATAAAATCGCTTCGAACGTACTGTGATGGTATTGACATTTGGCTCGGGTCATTTGGCATGCCGTACGCAGTCTGTAAAATAGTTTAAATTGCCTGTTAACTGATTTCGCAGTCCCTGTTTCAGCTCCTGCTGCTGCTCCTGCTCCTGCTCCTTTCTACCCCCTCGGTCAGTGCAAACAAGACATTTCGGTTTATGGCTCCGGCCCCCGGAAGTGTTAGGCCAAGTGGCCAGAAGCGGCAGACTGGACCAAGTGACTGGACCATTTGGCAGCCGATAAAAATGGCAAAGAGCCGAAGGGGGCGTGCCGGGTTGGCATTCGTGTGTGTGTGTATATATGCGTAATAATTTTCCCCCCACCCAGCATAAACCCCACTCAAAAAGAATGCCATCCTTTTTTTTGCAGGGTGTAAAACAACAGAATTGGAGAAAATCGGGAAACGGCAGGAAAATTCCAAAAGGGGGCCGGGAAAATTGTGAATAAGCGACGCTGGACAGTTGACAAAAGTTCGATAATTAAATATGGTTGAAGCAAAGATTTATGAGTAATTTTGTATGGCAATTAGCAAAGAGTAGAGGAGAAAGTTTAAACTGGAATAGGTTTAATATATATATATTATATATATAAAAATGCAATACAAAATGCATTATTTCCTTTTTCCCAATATGGTTATATAATAAAAACAATTGGTTGCTCAATAAGATTACTTACGCAATAGTATTTTCTCACACAAAATGTAAAAATATAAAACTGTATCACAAAGAGTATAAATTTTTCATTTCTGTGTCAGTAAATTCAAGCTTCGTATGAAATCAAAAATCTTAATCTATAAAAATGTCTACCCTCTTCAATGGTATGACTTGGGTAGCTTTTACTTTTGGTGTCATATTTTTATTTTTTCTGTTTGCAACATTTAACAATGCACAAAGGCAAATAAAGTTGTGTTGACAGAAATCGGGACACAATCATCCCTCGAAAAAAAAATTCCTTCTGCCGGAATCGTAAATAATTATTTATTTAAAGTGCTGCAGATATTTCCAAATGAAATCGATGGTCGTCTCCTCGTACAATCTCCCTTTATATATTTTTTTTGGTAACTTTTCTTTTCTTTTGAGTTTGGGTTTGGAGTTTTAATTTACATTCAAAGTGTGGAGTTTTTGATGGCAAACTTTTCTTCGTTATGGGTTCAATTGGATTGAGTTGAATTCACTTTGTTTCATTCACTTAGCAAATACATCCAAAACAAAAAACACGACTTGGCCATTTGCTGGGTAAAATTACTCATACGCCGCGTGTGACGTGAATATTAAAAAGAAGCAAAAGTTTATGATAAATCCCTCTGTTTCCTCATAAGCAACTGAGCTCAAGTGTTTATGTACCGCTTTATACACATATATAGTGTATATGTATATGAATAGTTGGGGAAACAATCTCAGATTATGAATGAACTTTGGCCAGTTTTGGCTTAGACGAGAACGATGGCGACGACGAGAATGAATATGTATGAACATAGTTAAGTTTCTTTAAGATTATGAATGAATCAGGGGAAAGTTTACACATCAAACAGCTTAAAAAGGAATAACTTTAAAATGTATTAAGAGTTTTTTAAGAGTTTAAAACAGCATTTGTATGTACTTTTATTCGGTTAAAACTGTGATTTATGGCTTTGTTTGCTTTTATTCAGGAATTTATTGAAAATTAATTGTATTACGTCTAAGATTCTCATATAATTCTGCCTTAAAGGTGACTTTAACATAGTAAAACTTAAGCTTGACATCCCATTTAAAATATGTTTCTTTTGCTAGGCCATGCTTCTGTTGCTTGAGTGCCTTCATTCAATTATGCTTCAAGTTGAATATAAAATGTATATTTAAATTTATTCTTCAGCACTTCTTAAGGGAGTGAGAGAGTCCACACACTACAAGGCAACAAGGACCTGCAGGCTAACCCAATTATTTACTCTCTAGGGGGACTTGGTTGCCTTTTTTGTCAGGTTTTTACAAGGGGGAGGGAGAGTGCGACAACTTAGGACTTTTTCACTTATCTCTGACCAGCCACGACCATCTCAATGAATTAGTCCAGCAACATAAATTAAGCACTTAACTGTTGTAAAGTTCTTCCTGTAAAAGGAGCAGGCGGCTTCCTTTTATAAAAGATGACCTCGACCAACAAAAGACAAACAGAGACACGGCTCAATGGAAATTCCTAGCTTCCAGCTCCGGTTTCCACACACACACACACACACACACATACAGATGAAGAATGGGAAATTAAATTAAGCACACACACTCTAGTGTGTGAGTGTGTGTGTGTGGGGAAGGATTGGATTTAAGGACTGTTTGGGCAAGGACATTGTATCAACAATTTTCGAGAGTGTGTGTATGTGCTACGAGGCATTGTAAACTCATTAGTGAAGTGACCGGAAATCTTATGAAATCTACAAAAAACAAGGAGAAAAACAAGCCAAAAGGCTTGGCTTATGTTCTACACAGGAAGAAAATGTTGAAAAGAAATTAGCATCAAGGTAAAGGTGTCAAGATTCCTAAGATATTCTTAGTAAATAACTATAAAATTGCTTTCAAATTTACTTATTTAAATGTAAATAAGGGATGAAATATCAAAAGTATGATTTTTTACATATTTATAATGGCTAAACTACGCAGTTTTCTCTCAGTGTGTCCAAAGGACTCGCTGGTGTTGCCTCTCTCCTGTGACAGGTTGGAGCAGTCATGCATGTACTTCAATTTTTCAGCAGAAATGAGTGCACATTTGACAAAACACACACAAACACAGAGACGCTCACACCTTGCGAGAAAGATGGGCGATGGGCCCAGGAGCAGCCAGCAGGCGAATCCCTGCAGGACATATGTCCTGCTGCTGTCCGCTCTCCTCCTCCTCCTTCTCCTTCTCTCAAACTTGTTTTTTTTTTATCAAACTTCAGGCAGGAATAAATGTATATGTATATATGAAACCTTGGTTGTGCCGGTGTGTGTGTGTGCGTGTTCCTCCCCCCTCCCCTCTCACAACCGTATCCTGCTCTGCAGCAGTATGGGTGTGTCTATGGTAGCCTAATTCCAGCTCATATTTTATAACAGCAGCAGAATCACTGCATCGGACTACACAGCTTTCTGCCAAGACAGCAAAATAAACCAACAGACAAGCTCAAAAAAAGAAGAAAACTCAAAAAAACCAGAAATAGAAAACTAAAAAAAATATATATATATATATGTATATATATATATATATATATATCACCAAAAAAAACGCCTGTAAACAAGACAGTCCTGGGACAGGGAACAAACTGTGTGGGCAACAGTACGTGAGTGCCCAGCAGGGGTTAAAAATAGGTAAGAGAACATGAGATTTATTGGGCCAAATGCCAAACGGGCTTTAGTGGGTTAAGGTGATGCCATATAATGAATATCGTATGAATATATTCGAAGCCTAACACACTGAGTTATCTATATTTCATGAAACGTGTTACACGTTTTCTATGGCAGCCAATCAACAGATTGGGTTTTTGCTACATTTCGAATGTTGCCTTAATATTAGATTAAGAAATTCGCCTTAACTTTTGAAATATTCAAATATTTAATATTAAAATTATTTTTATTTGTAATAGGAATAATTATTAAAAATCTTGGAAAGTTTGGAAGCTTAGTTGTCACACGATTAAGTCCAAAATAGGTTTTTTATGAATAATATAAATGTAGTTATGTCTTTATTTTAAATACATAAAAAATGGTCTAAAGTAAGTTTAAGAAATGTTTCTTTTAAGAATCTTTCAATCTACTTTAGAAGTGAATATCGTATGAATATATTCGAGTCTAAGAATGAGTTATCTAATTATTCTGAATTTTGACAAGTAAAGTTTGTGAAGCTAGTTTTCAAAAAATATATAAATAACAGGCAGTAAGTTTGATTTTTGTGAATAAAATAGTTGCAGATATGTGATTACTTTTAAATATTTTAAAATTAACTTTAACTATTAAATTGTTTAAAATTAAAGATAGTTTTTTGTCTATCATAATAAAAGTTCTCAAAATCTTGAAAAGTTAAGTTTGTTAACTTAGTTTTCACAGAATAAAACCGGCATCAAGTTTGTTTCTAGAAACAAAATCTTTTGCAGATTTGTAAATAGTTTTAATTACTTTAAATTATCCAGGTTTCACCCATCTTCTTTCAAATATGTGCATTATTTTATTATATTTTTATATATACTATAAACTGT